ATGTACCTTCTGTATTAGTTATCATCATTTTAGCCTTGAAACGCCTCCTAATCAAAATCAAATCACACCTCAGAGTATTCCCATAATGACTTAATACTGGCTGAGCTCTCAGACTATACATAGTATGTCACGTTCTCAAGTGCACCTCTCAGTTTTGCCTGACACATTTGAGGCTGACGTAAGGAGAGCCTATATTTGGGGTGGTGTCATCAACAATATTACAGTTTCCTGTCAGGACCCCCTCCCCTCCCCTCCCCGAGCTGGGTGTCTTACGTGACGCTACACGTGCAGGTGTGTCACATGAATCAAGCCTGACTTGCCTTTATGAAAGAGGAGTGCAGTGCACATCCAGACTGTTTCAGGCCAAGTGCGTGATAAAAGGAGACTTAATGGAAAATTCCACCCTCAGATACTCTTTAACTGTCAGATATGCTGCTCAACCTGTGTCATTCAGTCCCACCCAGGGGTTATCCAGTGATGATGCGGTGCACCCATGTCCCCTCAACCTGCCTTTGCCTTTCCAACTTATACTTCACTACTTACACTGTGCATATTACAGCTCTGTTGCATTCTGGCATTGTGAGGCTACTGGTGCTTCTGGTCTCTCACAGTGAATTTCTCCTTTTGTAAATATGTAGAAGATGCCTTACTGCACGTCACATAAAAAAATTGCTAGTCATGAAGAAAGCCAAGATAAACAATTTAAAGCATTTTGAAATAGTCCTAGAATTGCACGGTTCTGTCTGCTCGCAGTTAGACTTTCTAGGGTTTTTATTCCTCCAAGCATGAATATAAAAAATCTCTCGACACTGGATTGCTACTCAGCAGCCCAGCAATGTCTACTTTGTTGTCTCAGACTTTGCACTGAAATACTGCGAGGCTGAATAAGGTATGTGTTCAGAGAGGGTTGTGGAGGAGGAGGGCTGTGCTGTTAAAACTTCTGCTGTTGTGCTGCCAGTTACTGCATAATCAAGTAGCTGCAATTAGGAGCCAAGAAAAATCTGATTTTCTGACTGCAGTGATGGATTTGGTTCTACTTTTAGAAATGTCCATTAATGTCTTTGTGCGCTGGACCAAGGCTAGACTTTAATCTCGGCACTTAACAGGTTATGACTTTGTTTAAAATCACATTACCTAATGTAATTGGGCATTACATAATGTATTGTAATGTAAATTCATGGCTCTCTTTTCTGTTGATCGTTTAAATGCTAGGCTTTATCTTGTAAGCTAATGAGAGCCAGAGCTGATATGTGAGTTCGGCAAAGGTTCTTCTCAGCAATGATGACCCTGATCATGGACCTGTGGTGGCAAAATTCATAGACTGGTGCAAGTTTAAGTCCTTCTTGGGCCTCAATACGTTCAAAACTAAAGAGATGATAATAGATTTTAAAAATAATCCTTAAGTGATCTCTCCTGTGGCGATTAGAAATTTGGCAATATCATTTATAGTGGGGGAGCTATTTGGCGCAGATTATGTGGCAACTCAGGGCGGGTTTTTCGCATGATCTGCAAATCCAGCTGCTTCACAAGATAACATGATCCGGGCAGATACGGATGAGGCCAGGGAAGCTGTTAATACCGATTGCTGTAACAGTAGAATTATTGTTCTCAGGAACCTTAAGGCGCAGACACACCAAACCAACTGCAGAGAACTAGCAGCCACTACATCGCCTGATGTTGTCTCGCCCAAAACATTGCACATGAACACACCACAAAGACTTCAGTCCATGGCCAACCAGCACGTATGTTCTGCGCCTGCGTGAGAGGAAACAACTCGTCCTGCCAGCAGATGGTGGGAGTCGAAAAGGGAAACCGGAAGACCATCTTGACGCTAGTTAGCCAGTTAGCACATTAACAAGACAATCCAATGTTGAAAGAATAAACCAGATTTACCGTGCACCAGTGAGCAATAACACAAACCATCATGAAATGTTTCGGCTAAAAAGCTCCGTGGCTAAAGAAAAATAATCTGACCTTATGTGACAAGTTGGTTTCGATGTCATGCCCTCTTGACTTTAGCTCTTTGTTTACTTTCCTCATTTTCATTTCTCTTCTCCTGCACTGAGTTGAACTGCCAATCAGAGTAATTTTATTCACCAATGGGCTCTGCCATTGCCATTTTAATGTGCTGAATTGCAGACAGGGGCCAATGAGGGTCAACAGTGTGGGATACACTTCAACGGCTAAGGTGACAGATGCTTACTGACAGCCCAACAGTGACCAACGAACAACTGTCAGCTTGGTGTGTCGGGGCCTGTAAAGCCTCCATTTTGGGAAAAAAAAAATGTAATTTTTTGTTACAAGTAGAAGATAATCAAATGTGATAAAGTACAGTATGGTTATTTTAAGCCATTTCTGAATTGAATTTAGAGAACAATTACTGTATCATGATATATACCGTTACCGTGATATTAAATTAAGAATTTGGTCATATAGCTCACCCTCTCTTGGTACCGTTACTGATAACAAGCTGATCTTTGATCTTCATGTAGATGCTGTGTGTAGAAAAGCTCATCAGTGTGTGTACTTTTATTGTAAGCTTCAAACTGTAATGTCAACAATACCTTCATGACAGCTTTATTGAATCAGTCCTCACGTTCTCTTTTGTCAGCTGGTATTGTTTTGGAAGTTATCTGCTGCTGGTAAAGAATGAAATGGAGACTTCTGCCGGCCGACAAGGTTTTTATTTTCTTTGCAAAGAAAAGGTCAATCAACACACGAGCGGTCAGAATGAAGAAAGACCCTGAGCATGGGAAGGCCTAGTCTGAGTGGGTGGAAGTTCGCTGCATAGATCAGCCTCTCACTGGGCAGAGCGAGCCACTTCCGAAGTCCCGCCCTACCACCTCCAGTTGTGTAGCAGTTTTCAAGCGCACCATTGCTGTGGCACTGCCAAGAACGATTGTGATTGGTTGAAAGAAATAATATATTTTTCTCCAATCTTAAAGTGAGAGTCGACCTTTCTTTTCTTGAGAAAGGTCTGGTGAGCGAGACTAGGGAAGGCCTAAACATTTATACCTGAGGAACGTCTGCAGGGTTTTGTATCCAGATGGGAGGTTAAGAGGTCTAGACATCACAATTTAAAACACAGAAGGACCTGGTATCTTGGTGAGAAAGCAGGAGGTGGGGCATTTCAAGTAGTTGAAAACACAAAGAAATTGAAATTACAATTACAGTATGGGTAACTGTACTCTCAAGAAACAGATTGCATGGTATTGTCAAAGTGTGCAGCAGAATTGCAGGCAATCCTGGCAGATCCTAACCATGGCTGTCCAAAGAAAGTTGTCTCCATCTGGCCGCAGATACAATCTACAAAGCTGCAGGGCCAGTAGACTGAATAACCCATTTACCCCAGCTGCCATGGCCTTTAAAATAACTTAATTAGATCTTTATATTGTTTTTATTGTTTGTTGTTTGTCTGATGGTTGTGCGGTTAGTGCTGGCTGTACAACAAAGTGCTCCTTGACGATAATAAAGATACCGTTGATTCTCAGATCCTCCTTAGTGCTTTTGTTGAAGTACAACTATTGCACTATAACAACCCCCCAGGAACAGCACTGGGCTTTGCAGCGAATTTGACATAGTAGCCAAACCGTAGAATTACAACTGTCAGGTCGGTCATGGGATGCCATGGAGCCCAAAAAGACTTTATCTCTTAGGCTTACATTGTGAAACATACCTGTGTACTACCCAGTATGAACACTTAGATAACCCTCTAAATCATTATGTCCTAAAAGTATTTTTTTTCGCTGTCATTTATGAGAGTGAGCCCATTTGGTCAGCCATTTGGTTTGTAAGCAGGGTTAAAAGAAACACTAGTGCGCTTGCTTGGGCCTATGGATGCTAAAGTTTTGGGTGATGTTATACATTATTAAATCCTCTATTTTCCTTCAGGAGTTTTCCTTTTTTGGATTTGAAATCAAAGCTACCCAAGTTAGAGAGACTTCAGGCCACTGCTACTGAATTTCAGCAAAATTTAGAGGAAAAGGCACCAAGTCATAGACATATGACGCACGTTTTAGTTGATGTAACGTTTAAACATTTTTTAATTAGGTGTATATGCCACACTTTTTTACAGCTGTAGAATGCAATAATCACTTTAGGCCTACAATAATGACAAATGAAAATCTGAATGTTAAAAAAAATATGCGTTATTCATTTCCACATAATTTTTATGTCAAAGCCAAATGGAGCCATTGGAGAAGGTCTACATGTAGTTGTGGAGCCTTAGGTTGCCTACTCCTGAGTTTTAAAGTAGAGGGAGGAATGAGATAGAAAGAGAGAACTGTGAATGAATGATGCGTAAAGAAAGTCTTTTCTGATTAAAATTACACCAAGCTACATTTGTTAAACTTGCACTTTGATGGGGTTCTTCCCGAGTTTTGCCTGTCTATGTGCAACTGCAGAATGTTTTCACTGCCTTCCATGGTCCATTGTTGTTGCTCTAACATTTGTAATCATGTGACCTGTTTATTCATTCTCCTTGTGAAAGTACACCATTTTTAGAATTATTTTTCAGTCAGTATTCATCATCAAAACTTTTTTTAGGGATACTTTGTGTACATGTGAACGGTGTTAAGGTGCCCTTCACACTGGAGTGTCACAGACCTGGTTGTAAATCACAAAAATCTCCCTGTAAGGACTGTCAAACTCCTATTCTGGAGATAAAGTTGGAAAACACCCAAGTTACACATAAGTGATTAACCCAAAATAACCCCAGAATGTTCCATATCAGGTCTTGTTTATTGGTGAATGGCTTTATACTACCAAGGAGGGGGTATTTTCGGATGAGCCCCTGGAGGGCCAGGTACAGTACAGCAGCTATGCTCAGTGAATTCAGCATCTCTTTATGACTGCAAGAGAGAAGAAGACAGATACTGTGTGGGTTTATGAAGCATGCGTTCTGTTCTTGAAACCTCCACGGGCCTTTACATCTGGCTGTTGCAGATTTTTTAACTAATTGTTTCCCTTTCTGCATCTGTCTCTCTCTTTCTGTGTCTCAGGTTTGTGAGCAGCCATGACGAAGTCCTACGAGTTCAACTGGCAGAAGCACCTGCCGGAGTTCATGCAGGAAGGCGCCTCCTTTGACCGGTTTGATGAGGTAAAAATGTTGCATTTCTTTGGTTCTTGTGAGGTTTCTGCATTGTGAAATAAATAAATAAATAAATAGAACAGCTCAGAATGTAAAAATAACCAGCCTCCTAACCTGTTTATGTCAGAGTCATGATACATTACAGCATGACTCTTTTGGCTGAAGCAAAGATTCAAGTTTAATGTCGTTGATGAGTGTATGAAGGCTTCGCCTGTGATGCAGGCTGTGTGAGATTGTCAATAATCTTGTTGATACCGACAAAGGTTATTTGCTCTGTCCTATTATCATCCATCACCCTTAATGACCATCCCCCGGTCAGTCATTAGCGTGCACACACACACACACACACACACACACACACACACACAGAGCCATAATGTAGCAGAGGCGTCTCCTTTACAACCTGATACGTCATTGTTGTAGTCAGAGCTCTTGCTGTGGGCAGGCCACACTGATCAGCCTCATTAAGGATCTTCAGCGTGGCGACTGCTTGTCTGCAACACGTCCACACAGTCTCAACCAGCAGTCTGAAAATATTATCTGTGTGTGTCTCTTTGTCTTAGTGAGTGAATGTGTTCTTTGTTTTTACATAGACCGTGAATAATTATCTTCATCGTCTTCATAATTTATTGTAGGTATGTGTAGAGTTGAGTTGCAAATTTTGAGATTTCTGCAGAGACACTGAAGTGCTCACAGCGCCATGGCTGTTTGAAAGTTTAAAATCAGTATCACAGAACTGAGGTTCATACTGTACACTAAGGCTGTTTTCTTGATTAATTAATTAGTTGATTGTAGGGCTGTAGCTGATTTTGAATTATGTCAGTTGAATCGGATTTGTCTGTTCAATACAAATATTTGACTATTTGTTCCCTTTTTTTCCAACATGTATATGATAATGTTGTCATGATACTGGAATGTCTAGTGTTGACACAGTACCTTGAAAAATACTGATATTTAATACCATTCTTTAAACCACCGGGAAAAATTGACAGGCTACAGCTTGACAAAGATGACTTTTCTCTTCTTGGTTAGTCATAGAGAGCAGCAGAATGATTGATTAACAATAATTCAGTCTTTTTTGAATTGATGAAAACAATATTATTCCTGCAGTAGTGCTCATGTTCAACAGCCTCTGATGTTGTCACACATTCAAACTGCAGTAAAGAGCAAGTTAAAAACAAAACAGTGCCACAAAAGCCTGTAATGAACCAGAACGAATGAACTGAAACCATTTCAGATATTCAGAATAGCAGTGTGCCATATCATATTGTTCATGATATAAGGTATAATTTTAACATAATATGAAAAATTCACATTGTGATACTGATATTTAGACTTGTTGACATATTGACGTCATACTGTTACCTACGGCAACAACAAGCATGGCTGAAAGCGATATTATTACAGACTCTGCGGTGGTTCCAAAAAGAGGAGCAGCTTCAGTAGTGTGGAATAAACTGTGGCGTCCCAGAATGTTTTATGAACAGCCCCGGGCTTCTCAGACTCTTTTAGTGACTTACCGCTCAGAGGGAACCCTCTCCTCTCTCGCCATTCACACACAGGAGTCAGTGTCGTCAAGTGATTTTGTCATAAATCTTTGGTGATGTAAACCTGCGTGATGCTTGCTGCTCGACAAAAAACTCTATATATGTGAATGTGTGATAGTTGTGGTATCATAACAGCCTGTCACAGGTTACAGTGTGATGATTAGAGGAGAAATGTCAAAGCATAAAGGTCCAGGTGGAAAAAAACCAAACAACTCAGGCTAATATGTGCTAATTATGCTAACGACGGTTCAATTTTATATGGACACTAGATATTAAAGAAAACCCAAAGACCGTATCGTATTAAGTTGCTGCGAGCTGTAAATTCACCACTTCTAAGTAGAAGGCAGAGGATAACGCTACCTCTGAGCCCGACCAGGCAAAGCGTCCCTTCTACCAGGCAGCTGCCTCTGTCTCAGTCAGGCTCATCCTGGGTCTGGGTCCTCAGCTGCCTGCACTGGAGAGCACTGTGAAAGCGAGGAGCGCTCACTCTGCAACTAAATCTGGGGACCAAAACGTCCTCAGATGGACACTGACTGACAAAACAAAAGACAAAACTGCTTGACTTCAGGGGTCTTCGACTGATTATTCAAATGTGCAGCTTTCAGGAGGCGGTCCCAGTTGTTTGTCTTTAAAATGTCAGATGATGTTGAAAAATGTCCATCAGTGTTTCCTTAAAGTCCAAGATGGCATCCTCAGATGTCCTGTTTTGTCCACAACCCAAAGATATTCAGATTATTGTCATAGAGGAGTAAAGAAACCAGAAATAAACTCACATATAAGAAGCTGGGATCAGAATATTTTTCTTAAAAAATTACTCAAACCGATTAATCGATTGTGAGATTACTTGCCAATTAATTTAAAACTAATCGATGAATCCTTGCAGCTTATTGTACATCAGCATATAAAATGCAGTTACAAAGTGCTTTACCAAAGACAAAACAACATTAAAGCTGATTTTAAAGCAAAATAATATTGAATTATTTCTCAGTTGGAGCCACAAGCAAATGTATTGCCTTTCAAGCCAATACCAATATAATTAAATCAAAAAAAGATTAAGACAATTATTTTGCAATAACTTGTGTCACCCATATCCATCTTGCTCTGAATGTGTATCTGTGTGCAGCCCGTATGACCCCGTGTATATCTTACTGTCTCTTTGCCCATGTTTCCTCTGACTAACTTAATCAGGACACTTAGCGAGGACATTTGCCGAGCAAAGGCAAAGTGTGTCACACACACGCGCTCACACACAGACACACACACACGCACGCTTTGCACACATCAGGAAATCCCCTCAGTCCTCTCCGTTCATGTGGGCATCAGTGGGGGGAGGAGGATCCCTCTTAGGCAGAGAAGAAAACTTGAAAGAGCGTAGGGAAAAAGCATCATCAAATCCACAGCCATGTCAAAGTGAGCCGTGAAACTGGGCCGGCGTGCTTCTGAAGAAAGTCCTCAGTGTGTCGCTGCTGTGGGTAGGAGCCAGGCTTAGGACTGGCCTGAATGGTAATAAGGTCGACCTCTGGCAGTCACCTTAAGCATCAAAATTAATGATGTCAGCAGGGACATACCCCGACCCTAATGAATTATTATTACCCTAACAATACTAATTACCTCCTCCCGAGCAGGTTTTCGGTTTGGTTTGTTTGTCTTGTTGTCAGCAGGATTACGGAAAAAGTACTTGCATGATTTTTATGAAACTTAGTGGAAGGGTATAGCGTGATGCAAGGAAGAACCTATTACATTTTGGAGCAGATCCAAATCACAAATTATTATTCCCTTTTGATAACTTTGCTATATAGGGCATTTGGCCTTGGGGTAATAAATGCCATACAAGAACGAAAGAACACATCAATTATTCACCCTGTGTTATGTCAGATTTGTGAAAGAAAACTTTGCTTTTATCGCATGCCTCCATGGTGAACGAAGAATCCTAAAACCATGAAAAGTCTTGATGAACTGAAGTCATAGAGGTCTGCGTTTAACAACAGCAAAACTTTATCAAAATATTCGTTTACAAATTCTCACACAGCTCGTCTCAATCACTACTTCCCAGATGGACCTTTCTGACGGAGAACTGAACTGAAAGTCAGATCTATGCTCGCCTCAAAGCCACACTCACTCAGTTTGTTTTTGTTGAAGGGGGCAAAGATGAGTTTCACTGTTGACCCACTTCCTGTTGGAAAGGGTTGTCTGTTTCGGAAGTACTGAGCATCAGACCTGGATTATACTGCACGAGTTGTGTAAAACCTCCTACAGACTGTGAGATTTTAGCAGTCTTACGAGTTTAGTGCAGCTACACTGTGCGACATGGATCTAATAAACTTGTGTACAACATCAAGTTTGATGTGTGCAGACTGTATGATAACAGCGCCTACTGAATCACAGGCTACGACTTACAGTGCAACAGCTTCCTATACTGAGTGCGCAAGGATGCTTCACGGGTTATTACTTCTCCAACTGTGAAGCTCAACATAAAGGGTCACATTATGAAATAACCTAAACTTTTCTGGGTACAATACACTGCGGTGTGTGTGTGTTTGCTAGCTGCTAGGTGTCTCACCTGGCAGCTGCAGCTCTGCCGCTATTTCCTTCCATGATTCGTCCTTCTTCACGCGATCATGGTAAGAGCTGGAGGACACATCCTACAGGCAACTCCACAAGGGTTTTCTCTTTGCTGGAATCCCACACATTTCTTTTAGTGTGTTTTGCCTCCATGGCGAGCTGCTATCCGTCTGTTTGTTTGGGTTTAATGCCAGTGCGTCATTTCATGCTGCAATTCTATTAGCTGGTGAGTAGTCATAGGTAGTAACAGCAGTCACACAGTGAGATTGTCATCCCAAATTTCTGACACCGTCAGAATTTTATCCGAGGCTGTCTTAGATCGTAAGACCATGACAACAGCCATGCTTGAACCTCTCTCACACTACGACATAGGACCAACGTTTTAGAGCCACAACCAAAGTTATCACCATGTTTCTGTCACGATGGTCATCTATCGTCTAGGACAGCCCAAATTCATATAATGTATACCAGGCTTAGGAGTTTTTAAACAGATATTTTGATATGGTTTTGTTTTCGTTAATTGCGGACCACTGTGAGTTCAATTCATCACGAATTTTCTCAATTTTTGGATTCTTTGTTCACCGTGGAGGCATGCGATAAAAACAAGGATTTCTTAACAAATTCAGTGTAGCACGGGATGCACGAATAGTCATTTTGGGGGTGTGAAATATTCCTCTAAAATCCAGTAGGTGGTAGTAAAGTTCAGTAGTGACTAAACATGGCCAATCATGGAAATAAAATGATGCCATTCACAATCCACATCCAATACAATTATAATGCTTCTTCCTCAAACTAATGTGTGCCTATTGTAAATACAAACCTGTCATGCAAATAATTATACTCTCACTCACATCCAAATGTAAATCGTCTGCAATCAATTTTCAAAGAACCAGAGATATT